CCCTAATATAAACCTGCCTGCCTCAACAACATGGCAGGACTTCAGGACATGAAGTCCGTCATAGGATACGCTTTTAACATCAATGACATGACACATTATACCGAAAAGGAAAAACAAGTATTTAGCGCTACGCAATCTATATATTTAACAAATCCCCTAACATTGTTTCATGCCTTCGAAATATTAGACTTTGTAGAACGCGAACAATTAGTAATACATTTTCTACATACAAACAAAGACGACACACGTAACATGGACAGATGGAAAAATGTTTTATATTGTACAAATATATCATCGCTTTTAATTGTAATGACAGGTTTGACATTCAAACATGAAAATATTTCTTATAACGTGTCCGAAAACAAAACATTGTCGTTAAAGTTTTATAAAGGATCGTATCAGAAATATGCTCAAGACGAATCATTTGTGAAACCGGATTTAATCGTTTACTTTCAGTTTGATAAGGCGTGTATTTTCACTTGGCGATATGAATTAAACCTAATTATGAACTTAAATTGTGCCTTTATATTAACTTATTCTACTAAAGGTGGTCCCGAAAGGGTACAAAATTATATAAACAGTAGTGTAAATTCTGACTTGATAACTTGCAATTATAATGGAAGAAATCCATTTTGTGCTCTAGAACCGCACAGGAATGATAGTGAAGATAGAGTTACATTCACAAATCAATATTTAAGCATATATACAAACCTAGCTTAGTTTGTAAAGAAAAATACTAGACCATTCTATGTGGGGCTTGTATATTTATAATCCTTGCAGCTATTTTTTATTGTTATAATTAATGTCAATTGTCCTGCACAATAATTTATTGTTATAATAAATTATAACAATAAATTATTAATAATAGTTGTAATATGTTATATACTATATATAAATATTTATATATATATAATGTTTACGTTTATAATAAGATATTAATTATATGATAAAGACAAGAGATATCATCACTGATGATTGTAATGATAGGGCCGCAGTTAACATGTATCTCCTCTCAACGTGTTTGCTATAAATCGCGACAGAAAGAATATTCATTTCGATTTCACAAAATGTTGTACGAGGACTATGTGCGCGATCCGTCGTTCGTGAAACCAGACCTGGTCGTAGCATTTAACGTGGATGTTCAGATCTATAAACTGCAAATTGGGTTCTTTGAAGAAACGTGGTCGGAGTTCATACGGCTATTGGCGAATCAAAATTGTCCGTTCATTTTAACATGTTACACACGACTGTACTTAGAAAGCGAGATTAAAAGAATCGATACCATCCTGGATAGGAAGGTAGAGTATTTGTATTGCGGAAAGAATCCATTTGCTAGTCTAATATCGCACAGAGACGTTGGATCGGAGAAAGTGATTTATGCTAATCAGTATATAATTGTATACAGAGGTTCTCTGTTCGTCACTAATTGTAAGCGTTATGCGATCTACACCAAATTGCAAAAGGCTTTGACGACGAAAAAAAGGCGCACATAATGAGGAACACGATTTTAATTAGCCTAATTTTTAATAGACGCAACGGAATACGTAAAGAAAATTTTTACGAACAATTACTGTAAAGCGCGACGTGTTGTTTATTAAACAAAAAGAAAGAGATAATTTCCCATTCCACGGGAAGCTTGCATGTTTGTAATCTAAAAATTCTAAGGACCATTTTCTATTCTCCTAATGTCGATTATACTGTATCACTCGAGCATCATGAGTTTTAAATATAACAGCTGACACTTGGATACAGGAATTTGAATAATACAACTCTGTAATAATGATAAGACTTTTCATCGCTTGATTGTAACAAAGTTTTATATTTTTTTAATAAATATGTTGTGAATGTGCGAAATGGTAATTATGTCTTTCTCTATAATCGTTATAATCTCTGAAATCTCTGATGTCACAAGTGTAAGAACTGCCTGTCACAGTCGAAGACGAAAATTGTGTCAGTGATTGAGTAATTCAGATAATACAGTCTCTCCGCCGCTGTTGACGTAAGTACCTTTACTAGGAGCGCGTATTCTGGCGAAATTATTAACATGATCCATAACAACGCATATATGTGCTAGGATTAACAAAATTCAATAATTATTTTTCTAGAAAATGCCTCTTTAACGAGAACTTACATGTCGTTCATTAGGAGCGGTTAAGTTACAGGCGAAAGCGTATTTACAAGTTTAATAATTCGAAGTACACTAAATTTATTGCAGGCTTTAGTCTGACGCGGACACCAGGGCTAAGCAGGTAAAGCTTTGTGTTGGAATATTATCATATCGCGATAACCAAATGGTGCGCGTGATAAACGATTGAGGAAGAGATTGGAAACGGGGACGCGTCGTCCCGCCAGGTACACCCAGGTGTGTCAACGTTAGGCGTACGGGTGCCGCTAGAAGAATAGCCCCGGGGTAGCCCCTGCCTGTCGTAAAATGCGACTAAAAGGGGAGGAGAGAGAGGTTCTGGGACCCTATGGGGGTGGGCACGGGCTGGGATACCCGTGACCCATCCGCCCCCCACAAACAAATAGGGGGCGCGGCGGGAGGCCTGGTGGCACCCCCGTCGCAAACTTGAGGAGAAGGCCCTTCTCAGGGCCATGCTTAAGGAGAAGGCCCTTATCAGGGCCATGCCCGAATACCAGGGCGCAGAGGTGCGCGAGCTAACGCGCGGCGCGGGGACTGTCGGGCAGTAATGCCGTTGCGATACCCGGGCAGTTCCCAATAGCGCAGAGAAGTCCACCCCCGGTGGTTTTAGTGCGGTAGGCGCCCTCCATTGCACGCTGGCCCCAGGTCGTCAATTGCCTGGGGTACAGGGAGGGCGAGTCCCACACACCCCCCGTCTCCGTCCCAGCGGAGCACAACCGCCAATCACCGTTACCCTTGCGGACGAGGTGGATTGGACTAGCCCAAGGACTGCTGGACGGCCTACAGATGCCTAATTCAGACAGCCTTTTAATTTCAGCCTTCGCTGCCTTTAACCTATCGGGGGGGGGGGGGGGTAGCCGGCGTGGCCTCTCAGCGACGGGAGAACCGTTAGTCGAAATGTGATGTTCGACAGCACATGCGGCAGGCGACAGCGCCTGACCGCGACTCGGGGAATCCCGAAAGGATGTCCGCAAATTTATTATCGTTATTGACTACCGAAATTTTAATTTCTGGAACCGTCAAAATCTGTCCGGACGACGACAACGACGTAACGCTGTCGACCAGACGACGTTTGTGCAGATTGACGACTAATTTGTAATGTGTCAACACGTCTGCACCGAGGATCGCAAAGGGCACGTTCGCTACGCGAAAATTCCACGTAATAGGACGCCGCAAGCCAAGATCTAAAGTAAGACGACGCTCGCCGAACGTATCTATTAAAGTATTGTTCGCTGCAAAAAGTTTGAGTTTCGAGGGCGTGTTTCTCGCGTAAGGACGCTGGGAGGAGAGAGATCTCCGCGCCCGTGTCTACCAAAAACCGTTGACCCGTGATCTGGTCAAAAACATGAAGACGGCTTTGATTGTGCCCGGCATCCCCGACCGTCTCTTCGCGGGGAGCGCGAATTAGTTTTCCGCCGCGTCATCTTTCCACGAGCAAGGCTTGCGGCAGGACGTGGCTTTTTTCCCGTATTTACGGTGAATGAAACAGTAGCCTGTCTTATCATCAGACTTAGCTGCTTCATCACCACGCTTATTATTACGCTTGCGGGAGGTAGATCTATCTCGGCGCAATTTTGCGACCGAGGTGCTCAAAGATTGGATTTGCTTGGTAAGCTTATCGATCCGCTCGTCAGTGCTCAAGGGAGCTTTAGGACGAGCGCCTTTGGATTCTTTGTTAGGCGCGACAACGGCGACTGCGGAACTGGGACCGTTAATGTCCGCGAGTTTATCCGCGATTTCTGCTAATTTCTGCAGATCAGGTTCATTAGTCGCGACCAAAATGGCTTTATGTGCGTCGGGCAAAAGCTCGATAAACAGAGATCTCAAGACGGTAGTACTGCACTGCCCGCCATTGAGCTGTTTCATGTGATTTAGCAGGTGAGAGGGTCTCTGATCCCCCAAAACCTGACCTTTAAGAAGTTGATGTAAACGGGCTTCCGGTGAAACCGCGAACGTCGCGAGTATCCGATCTTTGAGCGGCTTGTACAGATTTTCCGGCGGTGGGTCCGCCGTGACTAAATCTAAGACATGAGCGATTGTCTCCGCGTCGATGCCGGTAAGCAGGCAATCGGACTTGGTACGATCTACAGTGATACCCGCTGATCGAAACGATGCTTCGATTTGAACGAACCATGCTTCCGCGGCCTGACGCCAGAAGGGCGGAATTTTCGGCACCCGGTAGGATTCTATGCGCGCGTCGTCGGGCATATTGAAATTATGAGACGCGTATCGGGATCCGAGAAAAAAATGAGAAAAAAGATAAAAAACTGAGGAGAAATACCAGGACGAGGCAAAACATATGCCTCAACGGTCTCGAAGCTCTTGAAGCGGCATCGTCCCTCAAAGGAGGTAGAGCTCGGACTCGAGACGTCGACGAGAAGAGGCGAACTGCGCTGTCCTGCGTCCCGCCGGACGGCGGTGTCTGCTGGATGCACTGCCAGGGGTGTACCTCGATGCCGCGTTGCATGCGCGCGCCAGGGGCTGCTTGCGCGCTGCGTCCCGTGGTTAAGGTCCTCGTGCGCAACGGTGTGGTCCCGTGCACTGTCGGTATGGTCCAGTGCGCTGCGTGGTGTGCGCGTCCGCAGGTACAACTGCGTAGGCGCGAAGATGTCCGCCGGGATGGCTGCGCGCCCGCCGGGATGACTTGCCGGCGCGAAGACGTCCGCCGGGACGGTTGCGCGGGAATGCGCGCCCGCCGGGATGACTCGTGCACTGACTCAGGGTGCGTTCTTCTTGCGTCACCCAATATGGCCTCCGTCGCTGCTCACTTGTCGACGGTGGACCCGCCCGAAGTTTCGGGAAGGCCCAATAATGGACTCGCCCAGCGTCGTTGCCGCCACAAATTGGGCCGTCCGGGGGATCCTCGTAGCTTGCAGGGCGTGATTGAGGTCCTCCCGAGGGCTGCAGGTCCGCCCAGGAAGCTGGGGGATGCCCTGAGTCCCGTCGTTGCTCTCTGAAGCCGCCGATGCGAGCGTGAAACGCGCGGATGCGCGATCACGTCGGGGTCACCACTTGTGGGCTTAAATATATGCGAAAGCCCAGGCTGAAGCGCCACACAAGCTTCTACTGCCGTAGGCTGGTTTCTCGGCAAGGCGGCAATAAGTACTCACTCGTACGAGTATAATATAAACTTTATTAGAGAGTATCAAGGCACGTCAAGATGGCCTGTCTTGAGCGTGCGCGAGGTAAGGAACGACTGCAAACGACTGTTACATTAATTCTGTCCCGTCGGACAGCGCCACCAACGACCATGAACAACGTCGTTGTATAGATGGGCAACTACTAGTCGCTAAAGTCACTAGATATATATATCTAGTGACTTTACTAGTCGCCACACACCCATCTACGTTCCGATTGTCAGTGTTCCGTTCAATGACGTAGAGCTGCCATATTTTTTCCGAGGGGGCCTGCTAGGGGGTCAATCGAATTGTTGGTGTTTCGGAGATGGCTGTACGTACAAGATGGTTTGCGATAACCAAATGGTGCGCGTGATAAACGATTGAGGAAGAGATTGGAAACGGGGACGCGTCGTCCCGCCAGGTACACCCAGGTGTGTCGACGTGACCGTCGCGCGGAATCGCCGAGGGCTTCACCCTCTTTCTCTCTCTCTCTCTCTCTCTGTCTCTCTCTCGCGCGCGCGGAACGGCTTCCTGCGCGACGGCGAGACCCTCACGTCACGCCAGTCCGTTCGCGAATGGCAGTGTGGTTTGTCGCGGCGAGGTTATAAATCGGTAATCCGGGACGACACCGCGGGCCGCCGCGCTCGCGACGACGAGGCCCAGCGTCGCCTCGGTCGTCCCGACGCCCCCGACGGCGGCGGCGGCGCGTGGTCGCGCGTGGCCGCGCGGCTCGGTCGCGTCGCGCCCCACCGCGCCGCGGAAACGGTCCGCCCCGCCGATTTGATCGAACCCCGAATTCCGTTGGCGAATACGCCTATCTGGCCGCACTATTTTTACCCCCCGTGCTTTTTTTCTCTAGACGTGTCTCTCCTGTTGCACGTTTTCGCACGGATATTTCGGCTATCTTTGTAGCGGTTACGTAATTTCCAACCGCGAGTCCGTCCCGGCACGGCGGTCCCGCGAGCGCGACGGACGGAAACTGCGGGGGTTCCGCGCTCGCGTCGTCGTCGACGGTGCCCGCGGGTGCCCGCGGTGAGAAAAGGACGGGGAGTTCCCATTGTTCCGCGCATTCTTTCGCGTGCCGACCGACGGAATTTTTTCCCAGGCCGCCTCTCCTCGGCCTCGCCAGAAATCCGATATTACCGGAGCGGAGTTGTAAGCCGAGTTCCTGCGAGAGAAAGAAAGCGTTTGTACTTTTACACAAGCCACTCTCTTTTTTTTCAGTACGCCTGCTCGTCCTAGTTGTTTTTTTTACTTTCCTGCTTTTTCCAAATTTCTCGCGCTTTTTTTCAACCTTTATCACCTTGTTCTTTTCTTCGTAATCTTTGATTTCGGAAACGGAAACGCGGCTGTTCGGTGTAAAGAGAAATTGAGCTACCTCGCGTGGAATACATTCTTATCTTTTTTTTGTTAAAGAGTCACCAGCGGGTGATCGCTAACGCGTGAGAACTGTTGAAGACGTCGCTTTTCTCGTTGCAGGATTATCGCAGAAGTTCTATCGAAACGTAACAATGTGGTATAAGGAGGCAAAGGCGTGCAACAATAATGGAAGTGTCAGCTGTGGATTGTAAAAAGCAGCCCTGTCGACAAGGCGACATGTCAGACTCGTCGCGATACCTTTATGGCCATCTTCCTCCCGACATTATGTCGAAAGAACTTCCCAACAACGGTAACAAGACGCGCCGATATTGTACCAGGGACAATTTTAAAAGAGATCGCCATATCTTGCGATACATTTGTATAACGCGTGTGTGCGGACGCGCACGTTTATTCTCACCTTTCGCCGTCTGTTAATTTACACCCGATTTAGAAACTTTCTTCTGTCTAGGCATAGGAGGGAAATTACACCAACTCGAGGAGCTGTTCATTGGCGGTTCTGCCCAAAGCGGCCGGGCGAGTCACAAAATTTCGATCGAGTCGCTTATCGACGTTTTGCTCGTGCTCTACGACGAATGCTGCAATTCTTCGTTACGCCGTGAGAAGACTGTTTCCGACTTTATTGAGTTCGGTGAGCGACCGTCCCTCACGAATCTCGCCTCGGCGAGATGGCAATTCTGCCATCTCGATTCTTAGGCCCAGTCTATGATGAGTCGTTAGTCAGAAGTCAGAACTATATGATGGACCTTTTTCTTCCACCTAGAAAGGAAAAGGAACAACATATAGTTCCGACTTCTGATTAACGAATCACAACTCATTGTAGACCGGGCCTTGCACCTCCTGTGTACCCGACACAAACACACACACGCACCGTCAGTTACATCCGCTGATTTCTTTTGCAGTGAAACCGATAGCTTCGTGCATCAAGAATTGGCAGTTGACGCGGGAGGACTTTGAAATCGTCAAGGTCATTGGTAGAGGTGCTTTCGGGGAAGTATGCGTCGTGAGAATGCGCGGCTCGGACAAGGTGTTCGCCATGAAGATTCTGAACAAGTGGGAGATGCTGAAGCGTGCCGAGACCGCGTGCTTTCGAGAAGAAAGGGACGTGTTGGTGTACGGTGATCGCAGATGGATCACGAATCTGCATTATGCCTTTCAAGATGACAATAACTTGGTAAAACTCGCCTTGCGTTGCGTACGAAAGAGAGATCGTTGGCCTCGCCCAAACAGCACCAAAGCTTTCAGAAACATTGCAACATCGCAAATTGCAATGTAATATTGCACGGACGATTCAGAGGCATTTCCTATATATTATACATATGTAGGAAATTTAAAATGAACTTTCCGAACAACCTATTGAAATTTTAAGTGTCCTGTATATTTATATATAAATAACGCATAATGAAATCAATATTACAAATACATTGCACCGTGCCATTACTGCATTGTTACATTTTAAGATGTCTGAGGGAGGACATTTCAATGTTGCTGCAAGCTTGCAACAACGTTCCTGAAACATTTCGCAATCTCCATGCAATGTTACAATGTTGCAGTGAAAGGTGTATACGATGTTTCTGCAATCTTTCGGCGCTGTATGGGCGACCACTCGCGACAATTGTCTGACCGTTGCTTTCTCCCGCAGTATCTGGTCATGGATTATTATTGCGGAGGAGATTTATTGACGTTACTGAGCAAATTCGAGGATCGTCTGCCCGAGGACATGGCTCGATTCTACATAGCCGAGATGGTGCTAGCTATAGGTTCTATACATGACTTGCGCTATGTACATCGTGACATTAAGCCCGATAATGTTTTACTGGACGCGAATGGTCATATCAGATTAGCTGACTTTGGCTCTTGTTTGCGACTGTTCGAGGATGGTACGGTGCAAAGTAACGTCGCTGTTGGTACCCCGGATTACATTTCACCAGAGATACTTAGGGTATTCCATCACTTTTTTTCCGGATACACGTCGTATCATTCTCCCTTTTGCGTACGCGTGAAGTCGCGTACTTTATCGAATCTGTATTGTGCCTAATGCGGTTACTTGTTAGGCGATGGAGGACGGTCAGGGACAGTATGGCCCTGAGTGCGATTGGTGGTCTCTTGGGGTGTGTATGTACGAGATGCTCTATGGCGAGACGCCTTTCTACGCGGAATCTCTAGTCGAGACTTATGGAAAAATTATGAATCACAAGGTAATATACCCTCGAATGTAGATTCTAACGAAGCGTTTGCTTGTTGGCACGACGCTCAGTAACGTTTCTCTTTTGCAGAATTGTTTTGACTTCCCTCCTACGGACACCATGTACGATGTTTCTGAAGAAGCCAAAGATCTGATGCGGAAGTTGATTTGCAGCTCTGAATTTAGATTAGGACAAAACGGAATCGACGACTTCAAGGTAATTCTCGCTGCGATAATTTACGGCAGAGCGTGTTGTAATCAATATATCCTGTCTTTTCAAATGCAGAAACATCCTTGGTTCGACGGAGTCGATTGGGATACGCTGAGAGACAGCACTGCGCCATACATTCCTGAAGTTTCATCGCCCAGCGACACGTCCAACTTTGACGTTGACGACACCGACGTTCGCACTTCCGATGCCGTTCCACCAGCCGCAAATTCTGCCTTTTCCGCGCTTCATTTGCCATTTGTTGGTTTTAGTTTCACGCAAGGAAGGTACGAAACGTAATCTTCTCTTTCTGTCATATTTACATTGTGTGTATATACACGTCGATTCGACGCCCACGAATATTAACGCTCCGTCATTTCTTTAGTTTCGTGATACAAGGACGACTTGTAGAAGTAAAAATCATATGATCCGAGTAACAATTGCTATTAATAAATAAAGCGGGTACGGTGCGGCGAGAGATGCGCTTGTATCTAATTGAATCTGTTGTTTCGTAAATATTTTCGTAACAAATCGCACATCTCTTGCATATTAGTCTTTCGGTGCCTCTTACGTCGTTTGTATTACGTTGATTCTCGCTAACCAGCTCGATTCAGAGTTGGTGGTGGCAATATTGTTTTTAGCGCGAACGTAATATAAAGTCGATTTGATCCTAAAAATAGTTCGACAGCGATGTCACTCTCGTTGAAATTGATTACCGTATCCACGGCGTGCTATAAAATAGTGGGCGAGTCGAGTCACGGATAGCCTGTTGTTACACGTTGAATCGACCGTCGTTTATCAGCAATACAATTTATCTACTTCGGTTTTTAACATTGCAGTTGCATATCGGATCTGGGTTGTATTTCTGCCCTAACACAGACAGACAAACGCATGCAGATACTAGAGGAAGAAAATGCACGACTGATACAAACTATTGATGATATGAAAAATCAATCGAGTATTAGTCACACTTCGCCTGGTATCTCGCCGGATTCTAATAATGCGACCAGAAAACTTCAAGATGAAATAAATACGCTTACGAAACGCAATTGTGGTAACGTTACGAGTTTGAATTGTCGATAATTCGTTCTGCGTATGTGTGTGTGTTTCACGGCGTTAATATCTTCTTATTCCGTACAGAGTTGGAGTCGCAGTTGAAGTCGATGGAAGTTCCACGCGAATTACGAACTTTAGATAACGGTGACATGACGAAATTCCGGGAACTTGAGAAGCTAGTTCGGTGTCTACGTACGGAGAAGGATGAAGCTATCAAGGACAAGCTGGACGTGCAGGAGAAATTGAAGCTTCAGGACAAAGAATTGAAGGATGCGCTCACGCAACGTAAACTCGCGATGGCGGAATATACGGAAGTGTCGGACAAATTATCCGAGCTGCGGCAGCAGAAGCAAAAGTTATCGAGACAGGTTCGAGACAAGGAGGAAGAGTTGGAGGTCGCGATGCAGAAGGTCGATACTTTACGCCACGATATTCGGAAAGCCGAGAAGCTGCGTAGAGAGTTGGAGAATAGAATCGATGAAGCGATGGCGGAAACTGGCAAAGAGAGGAAATTGAGAGAGCGCAGCGAGGAATATTGCAAGCAGATGCAAGAGGAGACGGAGAAGATTAGGCAACGTTCTCTTGGGAACGATGCCAGTGCGAATCACGCATTGGCCACTCAGGAGATTAACAGGCTAAAGGCGGAAGTTGAAAAACTTGAAGTTCAGTATAACGAAAACTTGACTCAACAGCAAAGCAGATTTAACCTTGAGATTCGAAGTCTGCAGGAACAATTGCACGAAGCGGAAGCTAGAAGAGAGCTATTGGAAAGGGAGGTGCAGCTCACCAAAGAGAAATTGGATGCCGCGAGATTGGAAAACATCACCGACAGTGAAGAAACTATAAGCGAGTTGAATAGACGTCACGAGAGAGAAAAGATTATGCTAGTTGAAGAAAACAAGAAGCTTGTATTGGAGCTCGGTGCCCTTACCGACAGCGTTAACAGATTGCAAGGTGAGAGAAGGCAGTTGGAGGACGAATATGAGGAGCTGAGAAACAAGAAAGAAGCTATCGCGCAGTGGGAAGCTCAGATTACCGAGATCATTCAGTGGGTGTCGGATGAGAAAGACGCTCGTGGATATTTGCAGGTACATTTACTTTTTCATTCGGCCTGGAATATTTATTATCATCCTTCGAGATACGATAATGGTATATACATACATTGAGGAGACTTTTTTTTAGCTTATTTGCAAAGAGGGAAAATTATTGTTTTTCGATTACAGGCCTTGGCTACGAAAATGACGGAAGAATTGGAATTCTTAAAACACTCCGGCGGAGTGAGCGGTGTTGGAAGTGGTACCACGATGGCGGATAAAAATTGGCGAAATCGTCGGTCGCAGAAGCTCGATAAGATGGAGCTTTTGAATTTGCAGAGCTCCTTGCAAAGCGAAATACAGGCGAAGCAAGCGATTTCCGAGGAGCTCACCAAGACTCGCTCGGATCTGATAGCTGCGCAAAAGTAATTTTCACTGAGAAAGAATTGACGAAAAAAATATTTAAAAAAAACAAGTTGCAAACGATAACACAGATCGGATACCTTTGTTCTCGCTTTTCTTATTCTATTTTTCCTTTTTAGGGAATTACGAGATTTCAAGCAGCGATTGGATACCATGTCGCACGAATTGAAACGGAAAGATATGCAAGTAAAAGAGCTGCAAGCGCGTCTCGATACCGGGGATGGCTGTAAGTACACTTCAATTGACAATGTGGAAAGCGAGAAATGCACAAAAGTCCGTTTGTTATATCGCTATGGAAACATTGCGTCTACATTTGTTCTGCAAGTCGCAGCTGTACATGTTGTATACATATTTGGTAGATTTGTTGATCTCTATACAAGTGTTTGAATCTGTTTTAAATTCTAGTCTCGTACTGTAAAGAAGTTACTGATGCGCGCGCGTACACATGCACGCACACGCGCACACAACACATGGAATATTTTACTGGGGCTATTCTAATCTTATTGAAATCCCTTTATAGTTACACTTGCACTTTCACAGTGACAGCTTTTGCATGCATATCTTCGAACCAATGTAGTTTTGTGGGAATACCACATATTGATATTTTTTTTCGTTTTTTTCATAGGCAATAGTATTTATTTGCCAAGTTACAATTATGCTATAATGTTTGAGCAAATATTTTTAATTGCGGAAGAATGAAGAGAATCGTTAAACGCATGCCGGAAAAGTATTGTCAATCAATGGGTCTTCAAGACGGGATCAAATTAAAAAATGTTACGCATGTGTAATCTCCGAGAGGATGACTTTTGTAGTATAAATAACTTTTATTAGAGAGGAGAGTAACGCATCACAGTATCTGGCACAGTAATCCCTTTGTAGAATTTTATACGGTCTAGTTAGAGAGTAAAGTTATGGAGGCGCTATAAAAATATGCACATAATTATTGAGAAACGATGTTGAAACACATCAACGATGCCTTCCCCCAATAATTACTTTTATTTCTCAAGCCATAAGATCGTCGATAAGATTACGGGCGTACTCAACAGTTTCTTCTTTACGATTTTGTCCCGTCTCCAATACTTTGTTCATATACTGCGTCTCTGCTTCTTTTACTACTCTTGTCCAAATTCGATCTGCATTTACCAGTACAACATTTCTGGTTGACTGCGAACATAAAACTTAGAATTCGTGCTGTTTCTTCCTCAACAAGATGTACTTTGTGCGACGAGTACGTCTCACGAGTTTCTCCTGAACGCTAGCAAGGGAAAAGAGGCGATGTCATAGCCGATCGGTTTGAGCTGCCAGTAATTCTCTTGAATACTTATTTCACTCGTCACTTGACGTGGAAATGTTATCAGAAACACAATTAGCTTCGGTCTCATCTAAAATATCTTAATCCACTTCCGTTCTCATTGCGCATAAAATCAGAATTGTGTGACAAACGAAATGAATTATTAGCGTGTATATTTCTTATATTTCTAATATAAGTACATATTTGTATATCTCCAACATACTTTGGAACGATCTCTGCTCCCTGCACCGATACAGTTTCACAGATACAGTCGGTAGAAGAAATTTTAACGTTACGAAAAAAAGAAACAAAGTTAATTACACGTATTTTGTTATCACCACATATTATCTAAAGGACAATTATTGAGATATTTGCCGTCGCAGATCGTTATTTACGTGGAATAATCAAAATCAATCGTGTGCGTTGTTTGAATCTCTCTAGACTGGGGGGAAAAAAATGCGTTTCCTTTTCTAGAAAGCGCGAAGGAAGATCTGTCGCTTGACACGTTGAGTGCATTAAACTTGTCTCATATCAATGTACGAAGTACGAATTTATAGAGATCGGTATTACTGGGATCTATGTAGCATAGTAACTCGATTCTCCAGTACGGTATGCGATTCTGATTTTCTAGACTACAAAGTGCCTCTGTTTATTGGCGTAACGAGCTGCGTGTGGGGCCTCTTGTTGCTCATCTTCAAACTATATTTGTGACAGCTGTCTCGTCCAGCGATACTACAAGCAAATCTCCAAACATCGTTAGCACCAAACCCCAACGTATCATCGTACATCAGCCGTCGTCACCCCTACCAGTAATGCGTGCCCCCCGCATCACGACTTGTCGCTTATTAACTAGATTCGTTCCAGTCAACACGTTCATCAGTCAGAATGCCGTCTCCATCGTATCGCCGCCCGGTAAATGATGTGGCAGCAAAAAAAGCGACTTTGGATTGGATATTTTAATTGCTAATTACACGATGCAGCGCCATGGTTTATCTCTCTGTTTCTTTACTACTCTATTTCCCGTATCGCGGTTTCTTGGGGAAAAGCCCGAGAGGAGTAAAACGTAGCACTGCATCGCCTTTGAAGCTTATAATAAGCAGACGTTGATGTGTCCGATATCACCCTAGTTCGAGTTGCAGTATCGTTGGTGGATTTTGTAAATGTGTTTTTTTTTTCGTGACGATACAGTTAGCTTTAATAATATCTCTATTCAACTCGATTGATCGTGTTTTAATCAATGGATTAACAGATGTGTGTGAATTGTTTCGCTTTACATGGCAGTAAAAACCAGCTGAGACTTGTAACACTTGAGAGCTGCCTCCTCCAGCGCAACTTCACCTTTCATAAGAGAATGGTTGAAGTGTACAGTCGTGAAAGGTACGGAAAGGTTGTCCGACGTTGTATGATAAATTTTGGAAACACAAAGGAACGATATGCACGAATATCTATGCAATGATACATACGAATATCCCGAAAACTTATTGTAAAACGTCGGACGACCTCTCTGACCATGACCGAGCCGTATATCTTTGTTTTTCCTGACATGTATCTCTGACGCAAAGACATCAGAGAAACACGCACGCAATTACTACCTTTTTCTTGTCTAAATAATCTTCAAAGCATGTATACTTGACAAATGTACAAGTGTGCTAAGAGATTTACCGTATTTTCAGGTAAGATATTACATGTCGCTGAAATCCTAGCGCTAGGACGGTGGTGTTATTTTTCCCATGTTCGCAAATATTTTACATTTGTAACTTTCCCCTATCATCAGCACGCTTGCTTATCCGATCTTCGTTTCTCTCATTAGTTCTAGAACGTCCTACATCGCAGATGTCGTATCTCGAGCACTTCCTTAAAGAAACGACAAGTAGCACGCGTCATGGAAGCGTCGACAGTGTGGAAGGTGACATCGAGGACAATCGTGCACCTAGTATCACGAGCAGCAAGAGTAATCTGTCTGAACTTAGTATCGTAAGTATCTTGACACGCGCACATTTTATGTTTACTATGATTTTATTTTTACACGTGTGATATACGAGTACATACGTAAAACTATTTCGAATAACGAATAGTAGATTGTAACGTGCTTTGTGTAATATACATTACGCTCTTAGTTCTACTTCTTTTCCTACAGTTTCTTTTTTCTCCTTTTAGGATCCAACTTCGCCATTATCCCACGAACTTTTGAACAAATCTTCGTCCACTCACGGTCAAGCCAATTTGCAACCAAAGCCTAAGTCACACCAATTTCTCGTGCGGACGTTTTCAGCGCCTACAAAGTGTAATCACTGCACGTCTTTGATGGTCGGTTTAACGAGGCAAGGAGTCGTGTGCGAAGTGTGCGGCTTCGCCTGCCATATGCCTTGTTGCGACAAAGTACCTCCGATGTGTCCTGTGCCCCATGATCAAAGTAAGTAACCCAAGTCAAAAGCTCGCCCTTCTAGCGTGCCAAAATTTATATTTATATATTAAGCTGCTAGTTTCTTGTCATATAACATTCGCGACATGCTTGTTCCAGCGAAACGACCACTGGGGATCGATCCTACACGTGGAATAGGTACTGCGTACGAAGGATATGTCAAAGTGCCAAAAATGGGTGGTGTCAAGAAGGGTTGGGTGCGTCAATTCGTCGTAGTTTGCGACTTTAAATTATTTCTCTACGACATCTCGCAAGATCGCAATGCCTTGCCGTCTGTGTATGTTTCGCAAGTTCTCGATATGAGAGATGAAGAATTCAGCGTCAGCTCCGTTCGCGATTCTGACGTAATACACGCTACAAAGAAGGACATTCCGTGTATATTTAGGGTAATGCCAAATTTTTATCGTCCGGCCACAGTAGACTCTTCCTCTATTGTATATTGTATTTCGTTTTTGCTTGGAAATGGCACAAATTGTCTTACTTTTTCTTCAGATAACTACGTCGTTATTGGAGCCTCCTGGATTGAGAAATCATACATTAATGTTGGCGGATACGGAGAGCGAAAAAACAAAATGGGTGGTAGCCTTAAGCGAGCTTCATAGAATTTTAAAGAGAAACAATCTTCCAAACACAACGGTATATACTTAATAATTGCAAATATTGTAACGACATATTTCTTCTTTGTCTTTCCCTTTGCCATTTTCTTTTACTCTCTTTTTCATACCTTTAATTATTATCAACGGAAAGCTGTAAATGTCACTTTTTATGAGTATAAATGTCAAGACGCTATTAACACCATATTAATGTATTATTGTCCTCTTTTGTAGATTTTTAGAGCGAAAGAACTATTGGACAATACCTTGGCTTTCATTAAAAATGTCATGTCAGGAGCAATTATTGATCCGGATCGTCTAGTCATTGGTACAGAGGAAGGTCTCTTCTGCTTAGATTTAGATCGTAGTGGTGAGTCATCAAACCAAGACAAGTCTGAAAGGCGGTAGAAATGATGATAAAATAATAACAAATACATATGCAGGTTTACAAGTTGCTAGGTTTATTATTAAAAAATCCCCAAAATTGCTTATTTTTTAGAGCTACTTTAAAGCTCAACTCGTTTGCAAATATGTATATTAAGCTAAGCAATTATATCTGACGATATATATACTTGAGTGTAAATTTGAATAAATTTGCAGAAATTGCAAGAGTCGGGGAAGGAAAAAAGATATATCTTCTTGAATATGTTACTGAGGAACAATTGATTGTGGTATTGAGCGGTAAGCAACGTCATGTACGGCTGGTTCCAGTACGTGCCTTGGATGGAGACGAGGTCGAATGGATTAAAGTAGCGGAAACTAAAGGATGCATCACGTTAACGACTGGAGTAGTGCGTCGTAATCCGCTTAATTATTGCTTATGCGTTGCAATAAAGAAACAAGTAAGGGCGCACGATTGTTACTCTACGTTACATACGTAGCGTACATATAATACGCACGTTTCGACGTATGTAGCGCCGTTTGTAAATGCGTTACTTCTTCTCTTTTGTAGAACGCATCGCAAATCATCATCTACGAAATAACACGTACGAAAACGAGGCATAAACGTATACGCGAATTAATGTTACCGTGTCACGCACAAACCTTACAAGTTCTCTCCGAGGGTCGCTTATGCGTTGGTTATCCGTCTGGTTTTTCCATTTACAGCATTTTAGGAGATCATCACCCTATTTGTAAGTATAATATAAAACAAATGTGTCCCTTGTATCGTCGCCCAGTCCCGTATCGCAACTTTATCGAGACCTCCTTACGCTTGCTCCAGCTTTGGTCCACGCTGAGAATACGCTTTTGGGTTTCCTCACCTACAGTGCCGTGGATGCGCTACGTTGCATCGAGCTGGCACGCGGTGAATTCTTATTAGTCTTCCATACGTTAGCAGTGTACGTTGATAGTCAGGGAAGAAAGAGTCGGGATCGAGAGATAATGTATCCTGCAGTTCCTACGGCAGTTAGTAAGTGTTTACCACCGCAACGTTATGTCTAACTGATCGTGACACTCTCGTCGGAAACACTGAAAAATCCTCAAAATCTCGTACCGTTCTCGTTCTATTTACAAATTGTTTAAGTAATATTGTTCGACCATATCCGGCGAAAATTTTACAACGAACAATGTTACCTCAGCCAGGGTGTAGGGAGGGTCCAGATTCGTATCCTGGCTGAGGTAATACTTTTCGTCATAACATTTCCGCTAGATATGGTCGAATAATTTATTACTTGTTCGGTTATTTAGCACTGGCGACGGAAACTATCACTCGTGTTGCGAATTGTTTGTCTCCGATTTCAGGCTATTGCGAGGGATATCTTTTAGTGTACAGCGAGACTCATATCGACGTGTTTGACTGCACATCCGGAGATTGGTTACAAACGCTTAACGTGAAACGAGCCCGACCGTTGAACGTTTCGGGCACTCTTACGTCTTGCGTGATAAATGACATGCCGTATGTTATTTATCTCAGCAATCTGCATCAGCGTAAGTGTCCATTGTGCGCAATACAGACGACACTTTTAACCCTTGGTTTAACATTTACTTACCATCCTGTTGGATCGATTGGTTTAATAAACATGTAACTCTAGGAGAACTATTGAATCTGACGCCATTGGACGCGAGCGGTAGACAAATGACAAGGCCACGACGAAGATTTTCGCTGCGAGAGGGCAATAGAGCCGTACGTCCCACGGACAGACGTTCGAAAATGATTTCTGCGCCGACAAATTTCAATCATATTAGTCACATGGGTCCAGGAAATGGGATACAGGTGCGTAAAAAGTGTCAAGCCCCAAAGTTTGGATTCAGTAAACGACAATTATTATCGTACATTATATAGCGGATGATACGTAGACGAGCTGGATGGGTTTTAAAAGATAGATCTCTTGGCGTTTGCTAATTTCAATTTGTTATGTATATTCATATCGTGCATTCGTGCAAGCACATTTCAAGTATATTTCATTGTCGTAGATACAACGTTTATTAGATTTGCCTACGACATTGGAAACTGCTGATCAGCAACACACGAGTCATCACGGTAGTTCTCATCTTCACAGTAGCCAGCAAAGAGTAAGTAATGCGAGTCGTACGTTTTTCGTCAAACGAATTGGATCGCAGCAGTTTCCTATCGCAAATCCAATTTCAATGAGGCAAAGAAATACGTGTCGATCGCCCTTTCCATTTCACTTTTTCTGTGTAGTTGTACGACGCTACGCTTCAGACACCCAACAAGCCAGCGCCACTGCCTCCTAGGCATCCCCCTTCCGACGCGCGACGTCTGAGCTCGCATATGTCAAGAAACTCTGGATATTCACCGCACAACGGTAAATTGATGCAGGCACATGCGACACGTGGCCGAGCTTATGTTTCTCACATATTTTTAATGTTGTAAAGAAATTGCAACGCGTGGAATACGTATTTCCCAATCGTTGCTGCATTTTTCCCGGTTAATCAGACGTAATGTATATACAGGCTCGACAACATCACGAAGAGGTCCCGCGCCACCACGGCCAACTGCCACGCCTCCTTCCTTACCGCGCACTCCGGTGGACCAAATTGATTCCGAATCGGTACATTTGCGTTCACACACTCCGCTCTCTCTCGGCAGTATCGCATCTTTACACAACAAGGTAATTAGCTGTACCACAGGTGTGTTACTTTGTACTATTGACTATATCGTTGCAACACGAGGAATTAAGTTACCCATTGAGTTTATCTACATACCGTACGATTCTGAAAAAAATAGATTTGCAACTCTAAAATGGTGTGCATAGGCAAAAAACATACATTTGTATTTGTTTTTATAGGAGCATCCGTCTGGTGGCAGTCCTAGACACTCGATAGCTTCAAACAATAGCTCAAATCCATCAACACCACCGAGTCCCGCCCACGATCATGGATCGTCGTCGTACGATTCGTAAATTTATTTAACATTTATGAAGATTTAGGTAAACAGTATGTATCTAGTACATATTTAAGAGAAACGATCAATTCGGTATATACATATGCATATGTATACCTGTGCGCGTCCTCATATGTATGTATATATGTTAAGCTCTTATATTTTTACTATACATGTTCACTCTCCATCTGTCTTTTTCCCTCCGCGGCGCTAAGAACGCGGATTTTGATAATCAATCCCCGTTGACTACGTGGACTTGTGTCAATCAAATCAGAAACTTGTCAATCCGAACCTCCGTTGTTTGATAAATCGAAATTTAATTTTAGACTCGAGCCTAACATATATAGTCATATATTTGTAATGTACTTTACAAACATGCAGTGTTTGATCTTTGGAATGGAAAGTTATTTCGCGGTATTGCCTTACCGTCGTGCAATATAATAATGCATACTTAACATAATACAAGTCAAAACGAGTATCGTAATCGTTGCGCTTTGACGACTTTGTAATACACCGGCGCGCCGCGTGATACCTTTTTATGTGTGCGTGTGTCGCACGAGCGCACGCACACGTAAGGGTCAGCCGCGGCGGGTTTTTTTCTCTCGCAAAAGATGCATTAGTGCGTTTCTATAATTTTCTGATTTTTTCAAGAGTTTATATGTAATAATTTATGGTCGCGTTTAATGAAGAGATCCATTATTATAATATAATGGTAAATTATTGTAAATACTTTATACTCGACGAGAGAAACGATCGTATCGTTAAGCTCGCTTTGCGATGCCATATCCATTTCTTTCGATTAGTTTGTCGTTCTTTATCTCGAACGCGAATGATTGATTGCGACGATTTATATAACAAAAATTGGAATCTCAGTCAAATTAACTAGCAATAAAATTTTAAGCTATTTAATGTATCGTACGTATCCTCGACTCTAGACGAGAGCAGTAGCTGCGAATGTATAAGTATACTTAACTAACGTTACACCGGGAATACTTGCGCGATTTTTAGTTAGTCCCGTTTATCATTTATTGTCGTGATAATTGGATCGTAAATACACGTCACGAACGCTACGAAACGAATCTCTCTCGATCTTTTCATCGTGCAGATGATAATTTCTCTCTTTTTTTTCTTCTCTTTCCTGCCGGCACAGTTTCGGTTTTTCCCTTGATAACAAAGTCGGAGATGTTTATATTATCGCTCTTACAAGCGGCATCAATCGCGCACCGCGCGCGACTATCCCCGGTTTAACGAGGTGGCGAATTAGACGGAGCGCGAATCGATTCGATGCCTTACGACTAAACGTTTTCTATCGCGTCATAACGCGCCGATGTGCACGGTATTATCCGACTGTGTGAATAGTAGAATGATCGTGTCGCGAGCTCCCGCTGATAATAAGTAGTTGTTAAGAAGAGGACTCGCCTGCGTGCGCTGTAGGCACACGCGATGCGTTGTCGTGTCGAGAAACGCGACGGTGAAATATGTATCGTGTGTATATCGAGTGTGTGTACCCCAACTGGAAAATCGAACGAGAGAGTATTGTCGTTTGACGATCGAGGGCATAATATCATTGATTAGCAGAAATCTTAGTGCGGATCATTTGAGGTAAAACACTAGGTGGAAATAGGGGGAAGGAAGCCGTATTTACAGCCTGTGGCAATTACTAGACGTAAAAAGAGATCACGCGCGCGTGAATACATTTAAGTGCAATGTATCGAAATTAAGGCTAACGCTAAAAGGAACAGAAGAAAATAGCGAACAGGCGACGAGGAGATATTGTCATTGAGCCAGGTCGTTCGAAGAATAGTTTCTCCCTTTTGTAAATTAATATATGCGAATTAGGTTTTAAACGGCGTGTACATTACGAGACTGCGACGCGCGCTTTCGTTACTTTTGTACGTACAACGAGTGGGCGAAGTGCCAGTATGCTAGGCGTATGACCAAATGAAACTAATTTATTTCAAACGACGAAATGTGTACTCTCCTCCTCGTCCTCGTAATTAACAATCGACCCATATTGGTTGTCCTATCGGTTCTTTCTTTTTTTTTATAACTATAGCTAAGTTTTTATAGCTGTTCACCGAGGAAGACGGTGAAACGAAGAGACTTGAATTGTCGAGAAATTTTCGCATTATTTTCAACGCGCTTTGTACCGCAAGCGACGTTGTGTAACGTGCACACGATTGAGATATAAGGAAGGCGGTATTATCGCAAACGTATGCTTAAAAGAGGAGAGAAAAGAAAATGCAGCTGCAGAAGATCGTAAGACTTGGTACAAGAGGACAACTGTCTCAGGATTCAATGCCAGTAGCTTAAGTACGGTATAGCATTACCTAGCGATCAAGAGACTCGAACAAACTGCTGAGAGTAATTTTATGTTCGTTGCTGTGTCTCTCCCTCTCTTTCTCTATCTCTCTCCCCCCCCCCTCTCTCTCTCTCTCTCGCTCGCTCGCTCGCTCGCTCTCTAACTCAATTTTTGTAAAGCAAGCTAATCGAAATTGAAAAGCTGGGTGATGCACAAGCACGTTGAATGAGAGTATGAGTAACATCCTCCGACATACATCTGCTTCCTAAGTATACAGATTATAGACACAGTTACTATCGATGGCTACGGTAAACTCGACAGCCTTATTCTAAATGGACAGAGGAGATCGCGAAGAGATCGTACCGTTTATACGCAATGCACCGTTTCCCGACAAAACGCCGAGCGAGACGATGAGAAGCCTCGGCGTGTCGGCCGCAATCGCAAATCGCAACGTGAAAGAATGATACATACGAGATGAAACGTCGCGCTGTACTTATCGATAGAATCGAATGATCCGCCTATTCTTCCGTTACTGTTACTTAAGGGTTCTTTAAAACGAGAGACATCGACTGTTCGTATTTTTGGTTGCGTCGTCACTTTCGGCCAGATCTCGGCGATCGATGCATCACACACGCATGAAAGGAATTGTCATTCCTGTATATAGGATTGATTTCACGTCTTTGTAAATAACTTCGATTTCGGTCTACTTCTCAAATCTATTTAAGATATATATATATTCCCAGTGACCCCGATTGATTTACGAGCCTATATCGTTATTTATATTGGACGTACTCTCCGTGGGGCTACTAAAAGGATGTTATCCGGTTCATCATTTTGTACGTAAAAATGCGAGTATCGTTTTAGATGCGTATATTGTTTTCTTTTTTTTAATCAAGTATCGAGATCTACGGCATTCTGCGCGCGACAAGAAATTATATATATATATATATATATTTGCAGACTGTACGAATGTGACTAGCATTTTTTACATGAGGCGGGCAGTCGTCCGTTTAAACCCTGTATAACCCAGTTTTTAATTGTTTCATCGAGTAACAATGATTTTTCATGCATTTTAACAACTGTCTTACTGGACTGCTAAACAGTGGCGCGCGCGAAAGGCTAAAAGAAATTATTGCGGCACCGACGCAAAAGATTGTCCCTCCGGTTCTCAACCCAGCCAGATTGTTCCGACGGACATCAGCCGGTTTCCAGTATAAGATAATTTTGCTGAAGAGTAAAATCAACGACGCAACAAAATTTTACAATAATAATTGGGTTATAGAGGGCTGAAGAAACGCTGTTACGACATTTTAAATTGTTAATCTCAGTCGGCGATGTAACAGTAAGATTATACTATTCATAACTTTGCAAACAATTAGATTAACAATCCATCCACCCATCCCTCTCTCGCGCATACACTAAAACACACACACACACACATACGTTATTTATAACAATATACGCGTATCGTTAGCAATATTTATTAAAACCGTATAGCGAAATATTATTTGCGCTTTGGATAAAAGTTGTACCTTATTGTAAATTATCGCGTGTGAGCTATTATTAGCAAGAAAGGAGACCAAACTTTATGTATCTAGTATCTCGCTATAAGGCGCCGAGACGCCTGTCTCTGTACATTTTGTAGTATTTATATCGTTTGTCATATTCTTTCTCGCGTGTGAGACTACCAGAAGGAGGGTAGCGAGACGTGTATAATATATTTTTTATTTTATCCATTCGAAAACGAGTTAATTTTCCTGTGTAGAACAGCTATATTAATAAAAGTAAAGGAGAGCCCATATCCGTTGTATGATTAACCGGTTCAACAGCGTTAAATGTTATCTTACTTTTCGCCGAAAATGAAATGGAACACAAGGTTTAAAGTACAGCTCCGAAGTAAGTGCTTTCTTCTTCAACAATGTCGACTGAAAAAATACACGGCAATTTTAATCCGCCGGATAATTATGTAGAAAGTGGATGCGAACTGACTGTGGAAACTGTCAGGGTGTGCGAAAAGATGTGATCGAAATTAAAAGTCCGTGGAGAATTAACGTACGAGGAAGAATATTACTTGCTATTATTTTGCTAAATACACATGAGAATTTAGCCATTTAAAAACGAGTTAATTTTCCTGTGTGACACAGCTATATTAATGAAAGTGAAGGAGAGCTCATGTCCGTTGTATGATTAACAGTTTCAATAGCATTAAATGTTATCCTACTTTTCGCTGAAAATGAAATGGAACGTAAGGTTTGAAGTACGGCTCCGAAGTGCTTTCTTCTTTAATGTTGATTGAAAAAAATAGCAATTTTAATCCGTCGAACAATTGTATAGAAAGTGGACACGGTCCGACTGTAGAAACTGTCGGGATGTGCGAAGAGATGTGTTTGAAATTAAAAGTCCGCGGAGAATTAACGTACAAGGAAGAATATTACTTGCTGGTATTTTGCTAAATACAAATATGAGTTTACCAAGAAATTGACATCTTGATAGTCTAAAAAATTAACACTTTGTTGAAAAGATCTTTATATAAAATTTTATTTCAAACAAATGACGAAAAAATTCGTCTTTGTCACAGAATTGTACTTATTACTAAATTACTACATCCACGTATCGGTTATTATATCTATAATCCATTATTACTCTCCTGGTACGGTCATATTCAGAAAAATTGCACGACGTTCTACAATAAGTGTTTGGAATATTTAACTGTATCATACACAAGTTATTGGTGCATAGCATTCTTACGCTTTCATAATGCGTATGGCTGTACTATGCAGAAACTATAATATCTTGCATGATAGACTGTATCTCCGAAATTTATCATAAACTGTAGAACAACCTTTCTGATCACGACTGTACAGGATTATTAATTCTATGAATAGAAAATGGTCCCTAGGAATTGTATATTATTAATACACGGCAAACAATCTTCGCCATCATAGCTAATGATGATCTACTACAAATTTTTTCTGCCGTAACCATAAATTTCTAACCTATAGCAAACAGTTTCCTGTTGCAACTGATTCAGAGGCATAACAATCGCAAGAGAATTAGTAGTACATATTAGCTCCATGTACAATATATACATTAGTCCATGTATTACAAATAAATTTAGCTCCGGCATCTATATTGTTTTTCCGCATATGCAAGCTTCCTGTGGAATGTCAGATCTAAGTCTCTGTGTTCCGTGAAGAAACGTCGCGATTCACTGTGACTGTTCATACAAATCTTCTACACGTTTTCCGTTGTGTCTATTACGTGTTTAGCTTCATTTAACTTATCTCCTTCGTTTAGTGCGCGATACGTTTTCTTTAACAACGTAGCATTTAGTTTATTAGTCGCTTAAGTTATATTTAGTTACTGAGACTTTTGTAGACAATTAGAAAGTGATTGCAATAAATGATTTTCGGTGGTTCGGGCCATCTATCTGGTATTAAGCAACGGAATGGATGCTCTCCATTATAGATGTAGGACGGATTAAACGGATATTAAACTGAATTTAATAAAAGTATCATCACTGACGATTGTAATGGTAGGGCCAGAATTAAAAAGTAAATCCTATGCGTTACCCGATTTCATATTGCAGCAGAAAAAATGTTCGTTTGAGTTTTATAATATTAACATTAACACGCAAAATTGTTATTCGCGCCAACAACATGAACGACTAGATCTTCGCGTTTTGGGACATACTCTAATACCCGCATAGCGTGAAACAATGTTAAGGGAAATGTCACAAACGCCGAGTGTAAAGCTGCGAGGAGATCATATGACTTTTCCGGATTTATCAGTCTGTATATTCGCATAAGTTTTCATAAAATCGTCCATGTTTTGAAACGTCCGTGTTGGAAACACGTGTAAAGTAACTTATATTTATGTTTAAGTCAGTTAAAAAAGTTCGTTTGATTTGGAAAGATAACTCCAAGGGCACGCACATTTCTTCATGCTCAATACTGTCTATGTGAGCTTCACAATAACTGGCAGCGCACTTCCGACAGTCCTTCAGCGACCGAACGCTATTGTCCATGTTCATGCAGACGGCACAATCCCTTGATAACAAAATCATTTCTACTTCATAACCCTTCATAGGACGTTTCAGTTCCATTTACACTAGGTTTAAAAACTTAAGCTTGCTCTTCATATTTAAAGATACACCAAGTTGTTCCCAGATCGATAATATTTCCCGTACGGCTTTGCAGAACGACTTATGCTGTTCCCGGTGTTCCTCATGATGTTGCAGACTACAATAGGATCGAGATCAACTTGCAGCTGTTGCACCTCTTTAAAGGGACCTTGTCACCGAACTCTTTGCAAACGTGGCACACGGTAGCGTAGAAGTAATTATAGGCGATAAGATCTTGATTTTCCGCTCCAGGTTCCATGACTTTTGGCTGATCTGGTTACACCGTTCGTCAAAGTCTCTTGCAGTCTAAAGACAAGTATACCCAGTGAGAAATGATTCGTCGATCGACGTCGAAATGATGTCGAATCGACGTCAATTCGACGGTGTCGATGTCGTTTCGACGTCGATCGACGAATCATTTCTCACCGGGTAACCGCAACGTGTAATCCAGATAAACGAAGTTCACTTATTTCCATGGACCTAAGAATCTCTGGACCGAGCACGAAGTGGGAGGACGGGCAAGGGGGCTGTTAAATTTGCGGTAAGGGGGACGAGAGTGCTCTCCTTTTCTGTCCTCTTGGTATCTCATTCTACAAGAGGTCACATTCGGCTTGATGACGAATGTAACCGAAGATAGTCGAAGTTTGTGTATAGTCTATACATAATAATTTCTCGACGGGAACATGGACGTAAGAATCTCTGGACTTCAGAAGTTAGCGAGTATAGACTTGTCTAGTCTTTCGGGAATCATCGGATATACGGCGGAAATACCCGACGGTGACCTCTTGTAGAAAGAGACAGTACTATCCTCCCCTTACCGCGAATTTAACAGCCCCCTCGCTGTATGCTCGGTCCAGAGATTCTTAGGTCCATGCTTATTTCGAATACGCACACAAGTGGAACGTTATGTTTTCGCATGGTATACAGGTCCGGGGACTGCCTCTAATTTTCGATGGTGGGGGTAGGTCGCTTAGCGAGGAAATTCTCTTGGTGGCGAGGGACGCTGGAGGCCGGGAGGGATATCTGTCTGCCTTTGTCCCATCCCATGCACGGTAAACTCGACATATCCCCTCGGCCTCCAGCGTCCCTCGCCACCAAAAGAACACAGACTGCAACGCTGTGGCCATTACAAGTTACAAGAACTACAAAATTTCTTCGCTAAGCGACCTACCCCCACCATATGAGTTACCAGACCTGTATGTAAGACCGTGGTCGTGGCACATGGATAAATCAGAGTTTTTCTTCCCATCCTTAAGCCGTCTTTTCAAGGGTACATTGCGAAGTGTTATAACGATATAGAAATTTTGCGTCACGTATACAATGCACGAAATGGAAATATCGCATACTTAACGTTACGATAATAGTTGATTTCACGAACGGTGTAGATTTTCAGTAATGTCATTTAAATACACTATAATATATAATTTATTAACGGATCTGTTATAATAAATGTACCGTTTATCTGTTATCACACACGAGATCTGTACAGACGCGTTTGCCTGTAAACCTACACCTTCCTAACATACCATATTAAGTTCTCGTTAAAGAAGTATTATGTAGACTGTAGAGAAACAATCAATGCAATTCTTTGAAGCACATATTTAATATTAGATAACAGGTTTTCATCACCCAATCACAAATACTTTTTCGCAACGATTACATGATCTAACAATAAATTTTTTACTAAATAGATATCCTCCCAAGGGCAATACAGTCATAGTGGAATCATCTGATGATGCCTATTAATTTAGCAAAAACTCCGCTGTCCCATATTAGGATCCTATCCCATAATAGGGGACTTTCCTGTACGTTAGATAAATGTGCAGAATTGGCACTCCAGCAGAAATCGCGATGTTTGTGGTCGTAATCAACAAAATAAAATATAAGAACATATGTACGCGAGATTGCAATAGGGAGCTTACGGTTTTGTAGGCAAAATTCACGTTTATTAATGTATTGTTTAATTAATATTACTCATTTAGTCAGAATACAACGTTGACAGGAATAAAACAAATTTCTAGACACGTTCAGAATGATTCAGAAAAGTAGTTTTGTGGAAAGTAAGTTTATAATTGTACGGTTCCACATGGGCGAGTTTCCAGGCGAAGTCCATCGCACGTCGATCCCTGCTTTCAGAGCGAAACAAGGTCCATGCGTTGTACGGTGTCTCGGTTTACGAGAGGTCGATTAACAAGTAGAGAATCGAGCAAGAGGTAAATTAGTTTCGAAAACAAATTGATGTACGCATAGTAACGTCATTATGTCAGACAGCTATTAATTAGGTAGAGGAAGTAAAAGTGCTAGTTGTTCTATTTCATAATTTCAGCTTTAATTTCTTGATATTTCCGTAGTACGAGTACATTGTTGTGATGATTCTCTTCTTCTTTAGTAGCTTCCGGGAACCATTTGCGTCCAATCGTTTGAAAAGTTCGCAATACAACATAAAAGATACTAAATTTCCAGTACAAAAGCAATTTAAATGATTACAGGATTATTCTATCTTTCTTCTTCTCCTTTAAACAAAGATCAGCGCGGAAAACGCCATAATAACAATTATAGCTACTCACCCAATATGCTAAAAAAATGTAAGCAACCGGTCGATCTTGCTACCGTTCTTAATTAAATAAATGTACAAAACATACCGCCCCGCTTTTACATGCAGATGTAATCCGCATA